GCTCTAGACTCTCCTTTCAATTTAATCTCCGCGGGAAGATTAGATGATGAAAGTTACCATAATGCCCTCTTTAATGGCCAATGGAAGCTCACTAAGGGCTCGTTAGTAGTAGCTCGCGGAGTCAAGTTTGGTTATTTATATGTGACACAGGGCTCTATTCTTAATGACTCAATAAATCTGGTGGAAAGTGATACTTTATCAGAATTGTGGCATAAAAGATTGAGTCATATGAGCGATAGGGGAATTACGTGTTTGGCTAAAAAAAGTTTGCTTTCTGGATTGAAACAAGCAAAGCTGAAAAGGTGTATCCATTGTTTAGCTGTCAAACAGAAAAGGATTTCCTTTCATAGCCATCCTCCCTCAAGAAAGCCCGATTTATTGGAGCTAGTACACTCTGATTTGTGTGGTCCTTTTAAAGTAAAGTCAAAAGGTGGTGCACTTTACTTTATGACCTTCATTGATGATCATTCTCGTAAGCTCCAAGTGTATCCTTTGAAATCTAAAGATCAAGCACTTGACGTGTTTAAGGAATTTCAGCCCTTAGCTGAGAGACAGACGGGGAAGAAATTAAAGTACTCGCACTGACAATGGTGGTGAATATTGTGCTCCCTTTGAAAACTATTGCAAGGAACAAGGAATTCGTCATCAGTTAACTCCGCCCAAGGTGCCTCAATTGAATGGTTTGGCAGAGAGGATGAATAGAACTCTAGTTGAGAGAGTTAGATGCTTACTTTCAGAGGCTAAGCTCCCAAATACATTTTGGGCGGAAGCACTTAACTCTCTTGCCTATGTTATCAATTTGTGCCTTGTTGTTGCTTTGGATGGTGATGTCCCAGAGAGAGTTTGGTTTTCCAAAGATGTTTCTTATGATCACCTGATAGGTTTTGGGTGTAAAGCTTGTGTGAGTGTTCCTAAAGATGAGAGATCGAAACTAGATATCAAAACTAAGCAGTGCATCTTTATCGGTTATGGTCAAGATGAGTTTGGGTATCATTTTTATGATCCAGTTGACAATAAACTTATTAGAAGTCGTGATGCAATATTCATTAAAGACCAAACTATTGAAGATATTGACGAAGCTGAGAAGATAGATTCTCAGAGTAATGAGAGCTTAGTTGATATTGATCCAGTTTCAATTGCTAAGGCACATATTGCACATAAAGAAATCCAAGACAATGATGGAGATAGTGATCAAGATCAAAATGATCATCATAGTGTAGATTTTATGGATGCTCTAGTTGATGAAGTTGTGGTTGATCAGCAACCAATTCCGCACAAGTAACTACTTCGAATTCTCCTGAAAGCTCTCTTAGAAGATCTACAAGGGAGAAGCAAAAATCAATGCGTTATTCTCCTGATGAGTATATACTTTTGACTGACATAGGAGAACCTGAGAATTATGATGAATCCATGCAAGATACTCACAAAGATCAGTGGATCGAAGCCATGGAAGATGAGATGAAGTCACTCCATGAGAATGGCACATATGAGTTAGTAAAATTACCGAATGGTAAGAGAGCTTTATCTAACAAATGCATATTTAGAATAAAGCAAGATAACCATACCTCTGCTCCTAGATACAAGGCGAGGTTAGTTGTTAAAGGTTTTGTCTAGACGAAGGGAGTTGACTTTGATAAAATTTTCTCCCCTGTTGTGAAGATGTCTTCTATTCGTATAGTTCTAGGCTTAGCCGCAAGTCTAGATTTAGAGGTTGAGCAGATGGATGTCAAGACTACTTTTCTTCATGGAGATTTAGATGAGGAGATTTATATGGAGCAGCCTGAGGACTTCGTAGTTAAGCTTGCAGATAAGTATGTGTTTTGCAGAAAATTGGCAGGCATGAACCTGTCAATAGTTCCTCTACTTGAAGACATATTTGGCCCCTTGGCTGGACGGGGAGTTTGTTAGGCATATGCCTATGTTGTCCAGCCAAAGTACCAATGGCCTAATCCTATTCTCTTTTGGTTTCCATTCCTATTCGGAATTGGATTCTGTGATTCTTATTTTGAGTGGGTTTTGGCTTTAAGAGAAAGCACCACTCATGATCTATAAATAGGACAACCTTGGAGAATTATTCTATACTCATTGGTATAAGTCTTTGAAAGACTTAAGCATATAAGAGTGGTTTTTGAGAGAGCTTTCATCAAGAGAGAAGAGAGAACAAAAGTACTTGTGTTACTACAGCTTTTTATTCCGACCAGCCAACTTCAAATTGCATTTTTCGATTCGTTAACCGTTGGATCGGGCTAAAAGTTTGACTGAGTGTTCGTAACATCTTTGTTTGATTTGAACGGTGGAGATCGGATTTGAAAGCTCGCAGCATCTGATTTCTAGCCTCGGACAGCAGCTTCATTTTTATGGATTTTTCTCTTTCTTCAATTGATTAGTTGTTGCTCTTGTTGCTATTGTTGCTCCATGTTTGACACTTGTTATGTACCCAATTTGGAGAACTTTTGTAACTCTTTTATTGTTATAGTGGAGCTTTTTAGATCTTTGTGATCTCGTGGTTTTACATTCGACTTGAAAGGTTTTCCACGTTAAAATTTAGTGTTCTTTATCTTCTTTATTTTCGGGTTTGCCTCTTCCTCGACATAACAAAGTGGCCTCTACAGCTGTATATTGCTTGTTATCCTCCTTTGGAGGTAATTTTTGTTCAGCTACTCATTCTTCTTGGTTGTGATATGTTGCCAATTGACATTGACTAAACTATTTGCGACATGGGGATGATGATTGTATTATTACTCGATATGTCTAGGGCAGTCCGGTGTACAAAGCATTTTGTGTTAATGCAGGTTTGGAAAAGGACCGTTCCCAAGGGCTGTGATGTACGTAGACAGCCTACTCTAGTGCAAACATTAGTGATTGCTTCAACGGCTCGAACCCGTGACTTATAAATCACATAGAGCTAATTTTGTTGTCACTAGGCAATGTCTCTGTAAGAAATTTTCTATAGTAATAGCTTTAGGCTGTAATTGTGTCCTTTTTGCTATGAAAATCTATCTTTCATCGTTCAATAAAGAATTCAAATACACCATCAAAAGCTCTTCCTCTTGTATTTTCCTGTCCAAGTCCAACCACACAAAAGAAAAGTGAAATGTCTAAAAAGGTTAGATTATATCTGCAAGTTAGCTAGTGAAATTGAAATGTGCATTTGTGCCTAGTAATATAAGATAAAAAAAACTGGATTTTACGTTGATACAAGAAATCTAGTAGTCACATGATTTCAGATTCACAGTACAAAACTAGAATATTAAAAAGAGAAAAATAATCAAAAGTGGGATATAGGGAATCAACCTAGCTAAGTGTGTGAGTTGGAGTTGGATCACGTTGAAAACTTATGTAAGTGATCCAAGAAAATTTGTACTTCCCAACGTACACTATACTACAAATGTAACAACAAATTTGGTAGCTCTGATCACAAGAAGTCCCAATTCCCCTACAAACTAGTAAAACCCACCCGCCATCGTATTCTTTTTTAATATTGTTGTGACTAAATTTTCTCGAGCCGAATATCTATTAAAATAATTCTATCTTTACAAAATAGAGGTGAGGCCCCAAACTTCTTTTATAAAATTATATTATTATTGTTATTAGTGGTGATGGTGACAGTGATAGATACAAAAAAATTAATAATTTTAACTCAAATAATATATTTATATTAATAAATTCACTTAATGTATATAAGCCCAAATGAATTAAGCCAAAAAGAAATTGATTCAAAATTTATAAATTACCCCTCCTAGTCCCCTCCCCCACAAATCAACATACTATCTCATTAAATTATTCTCTAAAATATTTGACTCTCCAAACCGCCGACTCATGTCTCCTTCCTGGAAACACCAATTCATAGCTACTCTCCAAATTTGCAAGCCACGTCATTAGTTAAAAAATAGAAAAAAGAATTGTTGTGGGGCTCAAGGTAGGGTCCATAAAAAAAGAGGACACGTGGAAACATGATTATTGGATACAACCTTAGTAGAGAGATTAATGTAAGGGAAGAGAGAGGAGGGTTGCACATGGGGGTGGTGTTTGGTTCGAGAAATTCATGTGATCACATGTGCTTTTCCTCTGTTTTTTCATTGTGGACCCCCCTCACACCTGCGTCTCTATCCTGTTTTCCCTCTAGCCTCCCGCACCCGATCCAGTTGCCTCTTTCCGTTCCTACTCTCCGGCTGCACGGCCGTGACCTTCACTTGCTAGGATAACGTGTTAGATTTATGTAACATCCGATTTCTTTCTCTTTATTTTTCGTATAAAATCAATTCAACTTATGAGAATCATTTCAAAAAAAAAAAAAATTGAATCTGAACAATTAGAGCTTGATATTTTCAAAAGAATCGAATAGAAACATATCGCTGCCAATTGTTTTAAGATTTGATTTAGTACTTTTATATACATGATATTGGTATTACTCAACGTTAATTAAAAGTATAATTTAAGTCAAAAAAGGCGTTTTATGATTTATTTTAAAGTTAAAATTATATAGACTTGACTATTCTGGTACAAAAATATTAAGTACAATTCAATTTGATATGTGTATTTTTGTACTCACTCACTCCACTTGTTTGAAACTCTTTTATTTTTGCGTTTAGAAAAGACTAATATTTGTTAAGTTTTACATTGCAATTTACCATTGCCGTGTGTTGTTGTAAGCCATACTTGATAGAAGGAAGTTTGTTTAATACAAGGATACATTTGATATTTTATACTATGTGCAGACAAATTTAGACCAAACATACTTAATCTTAGTTTACTTAAAAAATTAAATGACATACAATGTTAATGTCACCATACGTTAAGGTAAATAGCTACAAATATAGCCATCGGTTTCCATAGCGTAGGCGCGTGAAATTTCTCGCCGTGACAAATCAATATCCATCAGGGGCTTCAAAAAACTAAAAGCCCAATAAAATAAGGTAGGCCCAGCTTCGTTGGCAATTAACATTTCTAGAACTCATAACAATAATTTAACAGTCACCACCCTCCACCCTCCCCCTATAAGCATCCCTCTTCTTCTCCTCTCTTCACAATCCTCCACCCCCCCACCCCAACACCTCAAAAAACCAAACCCAAAAAAGGGAACAATCCCATATTTCTTTTCTTGCAAATTCATGGAGAGCAGTTGTAACAGTGAAGAGACAACAACAACAGTAGCCACATTATCAAGAAAAGATCAGAAAATGACTCAAAAAAACTCCAAGAGGCAAAAGAGGATGAGAAATAATGTGAAGAAGGTGTTAAAAGAAAGTAGTAGTAATTGCAATACTGATAATGCAGGGAATAATCAAGAAGAAGATGATGACAAGGCTGAGGTGGAGGAGAAAATCATGGCATTACAAAAAATAGTACCAGGAGGAGAATCACTTGGTGTTGATATGCTCTTCGAAGAAACTGCTGGTTATATTTTGGCATTGCAATGTCAAATCAAAACACTCAAAGTTCTTGCTAGCTTTGTTGAAGGCTCTGAGAAGGAAAGGATGAAGCTTGGAGGTTGATGTTAAACCTTTTTTTTCTTTTCTTTTTTCTTTCTTCTCATGCTTGGTAAAAGAGGGACAGTTCGATCGGTCCACAAGATATTTGCCTTCATGTAAGGTCCAAGAAAAGGTTAACTCCAAAGGGTGGCGTAAATGGCCTAACCTAATTCAAGCATTAGTGACGGTTTTCTTCTCATGCTTGGTATTGGTACATCTTCGTTGTCCAACCAAGTTAGCTTCTTTTTTTATTTTTGTTTATTGTATTGCCTAGAGACCTAGCTAAGGACAAGGGTTGGTGAAAATTAAACTCGCACCTTTACTCAATTGTTTGGTTCTTTGTTCTTTTATTTGGATCTTAGGGATTTCAGATAGGGATTAATTAATTTAATTTTAATTTAACTTCATAATATTTGTTCATGCCTAAGTGTTACACTTTGGATGGATATCTAATAGGAATATGTATGAATTGGCTGGATTCTTGGAGACATTTTATTGATAAATGCAGATACATAGGAATGTTCTTGGATCATGTAGTATAGAAATGTATACATAGGAATGTTCTTGGATCATGTAGTATAGAAATGTGATGATAGGAATTTGGTTTTGAGTACATGATTTGGAGGTATCTCCAGTTCTCTTTATCAAGAAAATGAACCTCGTTGTCTTTCTATCTCTCTCTTTCTGTTTTAGTTTAAAAAAATATGGAAAACATAAGTTGTGAGTTGTGGGAAGTGATTTTAAGGGTAACTTTTTCTAAACCAAGCAAAATTTTCGACAAATGAGGAAAGGAAACAAGACTAATTATGGCTACGTTTTAGTCACAATTCTGCGCACACAGCATCTAGCCAGCAGATAAAGATTAAGGTAAGTGTGCCATTTTAGATCCAAAAATTGGCAGGTGTCCTTTAATCTTTGAAATTTATGTGGCATTCTAATTATAAATTATAAAAAACGTTAAAGAAATTAGCTTTTGGATAAAATATAGGGTTAAATCTATGAATCATGTGATGCAGCAGCAGTCAATTTACCAAAATAGACAGGTGATTTATACGAGGCTATGACATGTTTAGCCAAGTTTTTCTGCCAATTTTTTTTGTTGGTGCTAAAAGTGCTTTTTCCAAAGTTAGAGGTCGTTTGGTAGAGTGTGTTAGAGAAAATAATGCATGCATTAGCTTTGTGTATTAGTAATGCTTTGTTTGGTACACTTTTTCAATCTATTATAACTAATACAAGCATTAGTTATACACTCTATTCGGTATTATCCTATGTATAGCTAATGCATAGAGAACCATGACATTAGCTATACAAAGGCTATTAATGCATGCATTAGCATGGTTAAAGACAAAATTATCCTTAAAGTTCCTTATGTTAAAGAATATGGAGGGCATTTTTGTAAATAATTAAATTTCTTAAAAATTATGCAATGCATTTAAATTTTTAATACACCACACCAAACAATGCATAAGAAATAATCACTGTATAGCTAATGCTTGCATTACTAACCCATGCATTACTAACTCCTGCATTATTAATGCACCTTATTTAGCATTATTCTTATACGCCCTACCCCTTAAAGTGTTTGGTCAAGCTTTTAGAAGAATAAAAAGTGATTTTAAGTAAAAGCGGAACTAGATTTTTGAATGCAGAACAAAGTAGCTTGTTACCAATAGCATTTTTTTTTTAAATACTTTTGAAAAAAATATACTTAGAAATACTTTTAAACATTCAACGGTGCTTCAATTATTTAGTCAAACACAAATTATTTTTTACTAGTCCTTTTTAAAAATAAACTGATTTAGAGTCTTGACCAAACAGACTATGAATTAATACATACCATGTAATTGAAGATTTTTCTTTAAAAAAAAAAGAAAAGAAGAAGTAATGATAAATTCCACTGTGAATAATGCCACCACGTGTAATACAGCAAAGAATGTGCCCTTATTCTATTGCAGATCAGTTGAGAACATGAGTATATGGAGCTCAATTGTTCACGTGGGAAACTGGGCTCCGTGATCCACTTCACTACTGGGGTTTTCTTTGAGGCCCATATACTTATGTTTCGTTAGCTACGTGTTAGACAATTATACGAGTCTTCAGAGGAGTAGATATTGTACTACTACTACTACTACTTATCTTTACTTGGTAATATGTTAAAAGAGAAAATTTCACTTTATACATATTAAGTCTAAACTATTTACTTTTTAATACTCATTTATTATTGGGAGAAATTAAAAAATAGTCAGATTTACAACTGGTCGTTCAAAAATAACCCAGTTTTAAAAGTAATCAAATTTTAGCCACTTTTTATGTAAAGATAAATTTGAGTGAAAACAATGTTCAAAACCCGGAAAATACGCCAGTATATTATACTGGAGTTCCAGCATAAGTATGCTTGAACTCCAGCATATTATACTGGAGTTCCAGGATAATTATGCTGGAACTCTAGCATAATATGATGAAGTTCCAGCATAAGTACACTAGAACACCAACATAATATACTGGAGTTCCAGCAAGTATAATTGTCCAGTATAATATACTGGAGTTTGGAGCACTGGTGCTCCAGTCTCCAGTATATTATACTGGAGTCAGCAAAGTATATCGGTCCAGCATAATATGCTGGAGTTCATATACAAGTGCACCGAACTCCAGTATATTATGCTGGACCGGTCTCTATTGCAGCAAAATAGTGGCTATTTTTCATTGAATTTGTAAACGCTGGCTATTTTTGAATGACCAGTCCGAAAATTGGCTATACCGTGCTATTTTTACTTTACTATTCCTACCCAATTGGCCCAATTTATTTACCCGGCCCACATATTTCACGCCGCCAAAGCTACCCATTGTCTTTAAAGGCTTATCTTCGTTCTTTACACTAGACTAAAGAATCCAGCCCATCTATTTCATCCGGCCCAAGCTACCCACGCTTGTCTTCGTCCTTTAACAGTTAACACTAGACTAGAGAACAATTTCCAAATCTCCATAGCCAACCCATGAGAACGCATATTTCACCCACATTCGAGTTTTTAATTTTTTCTTCCGATTTCGTTTTATCTCTTCGTCTAGTACCTATTTTTGGGTGAAACTTTTGCTTTGGGTGAAATTTTTTGCTTCTGAAAGTACATTTTAGTGAAAGTGGATTTTCAAAATCATAGGATTTTGTGTTTTTCTTTGTACTTTTGTGAATCAATGTCTATGGGTTGTTCTTTTCTCTATGGGTCGGAAGCATTGTGCGCGTAGATGGTGGCGCCGTGGACAATATCATTCTTCAACACAAGTAGCTGGTGAATCCGTTGCCTCAGCCATGTCCGGTCCTAGTTTTTCCTTATTTTCTGATTCTCAGTCTCTGTTTAGTCGTAACCCTAGCAGTAGTCCTGTTGAAAACACAACTGAAAATGTAGAATTAGAGGGTGGAAAAGACAACAATATTAATGCTTCATCAGTCGATGAAACTCCCTACCAGTCATTACCCGACACAAATTCCGAACCAGTCATAAGAGGTGTTCCTATGACTGATAAGGGAAAAGGTAAAGTTGTTGAGGATTCCGAGTTAGGGGGAAGCCGACGTGAATCCATGCCTAAAACAGAGACTCAACCAGTAGATGTTGATTGTAGCGATAATTCTCAGTTAAAGAAGAAAAAAATTGGTGTCACACCCAAGAAGGTAATTTCTTAAAATTATGATATGTGAGATTTTGAATGTATAGTACATTGTTATTTTTTGATTTCCTGTTATGCTTTTGTATTATATTATAGTTATAGTCAGTTGTGTTAATTTTAAGTGAATTTTATTTCTTAAATAATTTATATAATCATGTTTTGCATTGTTGAAATTCCCTTGTGTCTATGGACATAGTGTATGTGTGTTATGTAATAGTTTTTATAGTTATAGACAGTTGTTGGAACAACCCCGTACAACTATTTACCCTGTTAGTATAGCTATATAATATCATATGCTTCTGGATCCTTTTTGGTTGTCTTCACTATTTGTTTTTCCTTTAATAATTGTAGTATCGTACAATAGCTTGAAAATACTTTATAATTGCATACCTTTTTGCTTTTTCTCTTTATTCATATCTGTTATGTAATAGTATTATAGTCATTTATAGTTGCCGAAAATTATCCAGTAGAATTGTATACCCTGCTGGTAAGTTATATGCCGTGTTGGTATCGTATGGTAGTTGTAATATTTTTGGTTGGTTTAGCTGCATTTTTAAGTGAATTCTATTTCTGAAATTAATTTATATGAACATGTTTTGCAGTGTTGGGGTTTCCTTATGCCTATGGACTTAGATTATAAACCAAAGGTTGATTGGGATACCAACTGCCATGTTATTCATCAATTGAAAGAAAATTTATCAAAGAGGCAATTTCGACTGTTTAAGAAAATATGCTTTGGCTATTTTTTGAATCTGCCACCAGTTATTGTGCAGATTCGGGTTATGCATCATTTGCTTATTAGGGAAGTACATCATAAAGTGAAAAATGAGATGCGGTTTGTAGTGAATGATTCTTGGTTGTGCTTTGGTTTGGGTGAATCTGCACTTGTTACTGGGTTGAAATGTAAGGGTGATACAAGTATAGAGAGCATAATAGAGAATAGGTTGATTTCAAAATATTTTGGGACTGCATCCGTGACATTGACCCAACTAGAAGACTGTTTTAAGAAGAAGAAATGGGAAACAAATGATGATGCATTGAAGATAGCAGTTCTTTATTTTGTGAACAACTTCTTACTTTCTCAACTCAAAACAAAGGTTATTTCATGGTCTTACATTGACTTGGTTGAGTGCGGTGATTTTAGTAATTATCCTTGGGGTATAGATGTTTATAACGCTACAAATGACTCGTGTTCCAACAAGTTTCAAGATAAGCCTTCTTTTTATAGACTTAGTGGCTTCCCGTTGGCTTTATAGATTTGGTTGTATGAATGCTGCCCAAGTTTGGATGGTCACTTTGCTGATCATATTGAAAATAAACTTCCACGAATTTTGAATTGGGTAGTCATGGGTCAAATACCGAATGCGCGAGTTGCTTTGCGAATGTCTAACTTGCAACGCGAGCAGGCAATTTTCTCATAGTTTTATTACCTCTCTTAATGTTTTGGTACAGGAGTTTAGTCACGGGTAGTTGTAGCAATATCCCAGATCAATGATATTCTCTGTTGGTTTACATATATACCATCTTGGTATCATATGGTAATAAGGATCATTTCTGCTAATTATACTTTTATTGCTACTTATACTTTTAATTTTCTCATTCTTTTATTGCATCTTTTAATGTTTTTTGTACAGTATTTTAGTCATGGATAGTTGTAGCAATATCCC